GAACGCGTTACCGCAAGGCAGCATTTTTGCATATCCGAGCTTGGGAGACCACTGGCTAGGTACCACCCCACAAGCTTTGCAGAGCAAGTCTGCAAATTTATTTTACGATTGACTCAAAGACAACTAAAAATGCTTATCCAGGTCCTGCAGTGTTTGCTGCAGCAAGAACAAAGGTTATTTGTCTCCAGATTACAGAATGTAGCAACCATACGTCATGAAAAACTGGACAAATTTATAGATTATGTCCATCTCAAAATGTTAGTAATAAGTAACAAGCAATAGCCATAAATAGTGCTTCGGTACTCGCCAACTTCCACTACATCAAGTTAAATGCTATGTCTGTTAAAAAACCAATGATACAGTTGCAGGTCTCCTTGTATCCACCCAGTGAGCCATTAGTGAAGACTGAGGTTTTATTTTAAACTACAGTTTTAAAGTACAGTATTATCCATCCTTCAGTGTCTTGAACGTTCATATTGAAAGGGTCAGCTTTTTCTTCACCATCTGGAAAACGATGTTAAATAAAAATCTGAACCACCCAGGTCCTGATTTGGCCCAGATAAAGCATTTAAGAAGGCAATCTGAAACCTAGGTGGATATCTCTGCTAGATTCCTAGTTAGGAAGCACAAATCTGAGTGCTGGATTTTCAAAGCTACAGCTTTAAGCCCTAGCAGGACTTCTGCAAGCCTTTCTTCTAATGCTTACCATTGTCTTGAATAAATTTGCTTCTACTTTGCTCAATACTATATATAAAACTACCACCTATAACTACAAAGGTATTGTACATAATACTGTACACTCTTCAGAACTGGAAGATACATATCTATATCTATATATATATGAGCACTGCATTTCTAGGGGTTGAAATAAATCTTTTATAAAACTCCCTTTGTTAATTGCACCAAATTAGATTTAAGCCTTTTTTAACTTCTCCCTTCTCTTTTAAATTGTCTATTATTTGGAATTTCTGAATAATCTTATGACTAAACTAGTTATGAAAGTTGTGTTATTCATTAAAATGCTACTACAGCAGCTGCACTCCCATCTTGCTGCAGTTTCTGCTGTATCTTGATACACAGACAACACGCTAGACCAACAGCACTGAGTGTACTGTATCTTTACTACTTTAAGTTCACTTAATTATAAACAATTAAAATCATTGGCTTGTTTAAAAGTGTGTGGTATGATCGTTTTGTTCATAAATTTTTTTGCAGGAGTCCCCATTTTTTTTATTATGGCATGATCTCTCTCCATAAGCATAAACTTTTGCCTCAAACCTTCAGAAAACCTGATCCACTAACCTGGACAGCAGTGTAAGAATGCAGCTCTTGAAGGTTTTCATCTCTGACACGGAGTCTAACTTTCAGTTATAATAAATCTTAATTAAAACCCATAAGTATTGCGGACATTGTTCAGATCGGCACACCTTACGTAAATAATTTTAGGAGTGACCTGTTGTAAGCTTTTTTAAGGACTAACGGGGCAAAATGCTGCTGCTACGTAGTGTCATTTTTATTTAAAAGCATGTGGTTTCATCCGCAAAATGTCTTGTACTTATACAAAACACTGTATTACAACTGAACATAAGCACTCACATTCTGTACCTCAAATAAACACAGGCTTGCTAACGTTCCTTCTCCGGCTTGCACTGACACCTACTGGGGAATATGTGTAAATCTCAAAACCCATAGCCGTGAGACATCAAAAGCTTTTCAACTCAGGAGCGAACCACGTATGATTCAATTCATTGGCCGATTATGCCACGTATTGGCTATTTAATTTGTCTACTGAAAATAACTCCCCAGTTTTTGAGGAAAGATTTAACAAGCCATAAATTCAAATATCAGAGAAGATGCAATGTTCCAGCTGTAATTACAGCATTTTTCTGTAAAAAGTATTACCTAGTATTAGCATAGAAAGAAGCAGAGAAAGAGCAAATAAATCATCTTTCTCCCTCCTTCCTAAGATTAAAAATGTGATAGGCCTTAGATATAAAACATTCCAAGGCGAACAGCACGTAGGTTCATTATTAAAACAAGGCAGTTAAAACCAAAACAAACCCTTAAGTATTTCTTCAGTTCCTCAGTTTGTTATTACCCCTAAACAGAGCAGCAGCAGATTTCACATAGCAGTTCCAAGGAAGATACCAGTTTCTTACCATGTGTTCATTCAAATAGCAAGACTAAGAAAATATGCCAGTCGTTATGTGACATCCAAACCCAATTCCAGTTACAAAGAAGAGTAGTTAAACCTATGGTTCAGTATAATAAACAGCGCTAATAGTTAAGCAAAAAGTTATATGCATAGTCCAGGACAAAGACAGATTGTAGAACTCACCTGCCATACTAGAAGTTAACGTAAGTGTTGAGGACCCTTTCCAGCTCCTGCTGGAACCCAATGCAAACTTCCATCGAGTTTAACAGGCATTAAATAAACTCTCAAGATTTTTTAAAACTATGAAATTCAGGCATATAAATATTGCAAGTGTAAGGCAAAACACTTCCTTCATGCACCAATGACATACAAACAACTTTTAAACTATTCATTTTTCTATTTCTCCCAAATGATAGAGACTATTGAACAACAAGAATTCGACTCTTACAAAGAAAGTCCCACTGTGGAGCACTATTGTGTCCAGACAGACCATAGTCCCACCTTGCTAAAAACCTGTTGAAGATAGGAATCTTTTTTATCCATCCGATGTGTTCTGTTTAGAGATAATATTAGATGCATCAGGTTTGTTTGGGGTTTTTTAAGCATTTGGACAGAAAAAATAGGTTTTCCTGTAAATGTTGGCCAGTGCTTCAAAGACAATTAAGCATTTCCAAGTACCTCAAAACCTATAGCATATCATATTAATAAAGTGAAAGTTACTGAATAAAATAATTCAGCAACGGATAGTTTTCAGGCAGTCTCCACAATGAATAAAGAGCGGGCCAACAGGCAGACACAGACTATGAAGAAAAGTGTTTTCAAATGATCTTCAGCATAAAAATAACTGTATCATTCTAAAAGAGGAACACATTTTCAGTGTTAGTATTTAGAAGCTTTCTAAAGAATCAGGAGCACAAATCCCAGAAGATTTTGGAAACACCGCTTTATTTTCCAGTGAATATCCAACTTGAAACACTGGTATCATTGCTTAAGAGCCCTGAAATTGACAAAATACTAAAATCCACAGCTCCAGTGCACAGTTAATTAGATATCTAAATCTTAATAAAAATTATCAGTGCAAAAATAAAACTGAATTCAGTATGCAGTTAAATGCATTTTGTTCTAAAGATATTTGGGCTTTGAGCACATATACATCAAATAATCTGGTAAGAGCGAAGCCATTTTCAGTCTGTGCTCAAAACAATCAAAACTATTCCACACCCAATTCTAAAGACAGGCAGGAACTAACTTTATCTTTTTTAAATGAAAGTCTGAGCTTAGTTACAACATTCATCATGGGTATGTAAGCTGAAAAATATTAGAGGTCACCTTCTATTCAAATAGGGGTTGTTCTAAAAGAGGCTTTCCTATTTTTTATGTGTGGGATAATTTTGAGACATCTACACTTTTTTCCATCCACAACAGAGAATTACCAACATTCCAGCGTGCCCCAGTGTCGGCAAGTCCTCTTTTCAGTCCCGATACACAATGATGATTGATGAAGCTGTTGGGCCCACAGTAGCGGGCAGAGCAGCTTGGCAAGAATTCAGTGTTATTGAAAGAAATCTCAAATACTTATTCCATCTCCTCTACTAACTTTAATCACACTATCAACATGCTGCCAGGAACGGAGCCTTGACACCAAGCCATAAACTTAAACAAGCAACCATTGTTGGCATATTACTGTTGCAATACAGGTAAAGGGTAAATTCTGTTTATTTTTACCTGTTTCCATTCTACATTGGACACCAGCTAAATTATGGAAAGATATTTCCTGTACTAACGGTTAGCTTGCAGCAAATTTCATTAAGGTACTATGTCTCATTTTGCTTGGTTAATGAACTGGTTAAGTTAACTTCTTCAGTTACACTGCTGTTAACTGCAAGTTTTAAATACAGGAGCTTCACGTACCCCGTAACAGTTAGTAAGAAAGCAGGTCAGTACTACAGGCGTTTTACCATTAATCTGCTCATTTGTTATGCTGATAAGGAAACAAAAATCTTTCCTCAATTACTTTATAAAATTCTGACAAGCTTATCCTAAGTAAACCAACAGCATGTCAAATATTTAATGTAAATACTGTACTAGCTACAAAGCTAATACAAAGACCGATATGCTTTTCATGATTACTTTGGAGCTTGTTTTGGCTTTGCTTAGAACAGTAAAGCTTAAAAAGAGAGGCCTGAGACATTTACAGGGAGAGAAAAGAAATTGTTATCCAAGCTCACTTAGCCATTTTTATGTTAGCAAAAGCCATTTAAGTCTCAGCTCTACTTCATAATAGTGAACATACAACCCAAAAGTTGGAATTACAACTGGATTTAAGACTCTGTTGAGATCTTTCATTGCTAACGCTTCAAAGTAAAGTATTCCATAAAACAAGTTGGCTTTCCTGAAACCTATGAATGGGTTTTACAGTTTTCCCAGTGAATTCTCAGCTAACTATGGCTGGAACCTATTACACCTACTTCTTGGGAAAGGGCTGTGGCTGCACACTGGGATAGTTAGTATTACATTAGTCTCTGTTTTCCCAAACGATACGATACTCTCTGCAGATGGGAGAGAATTCCAGTTTGCAACTCCCTGAGCTGATGTAGTCACGCAATGTAATTTCCAGTTCCACCTTCCAACAAACGAAGAAATACTGGCATTCTACCTGCCCTGAACAAAACAAGCAGAGATAGGCACTTAAGTTGAAAGTATGCAAACCTTTTCTTCCCCTACCAAACCTGTAGAAGAAATTCTTCTTTTTTCTTATGTGTTTCAGCTTTCCAAAAGAATCTCAATTTAAGTCAGAAGCAACTGAGTATTGGCACAAACCCAGCATTACTAAAAAAGAAAGGTCTTAAAAAGAAACATATTTGGCCAGTTCCTTCTCCATCTCAGAATACTGCTCTTTGAGGCGCTCCATAGCTTTTCTGTGTTCTTCGTCCACCTCTGCTCGTTTGTTTTGTTGTTCTTTCATGAATTCCTCCCAGTGGGCTATGCGCTTCTCTTCACGACCCATCAGCTTGTCCGCCTGAAGCTGAGGAGGAAAATGAGAAGTTTTAACAATCATTTCCAGACTAAAACAAGAGGATTTAATGAAATCTACATAATGTTACGAGTATCAGAGAAACGCGGGCTTTTACTTCAAGTAAAGTGAAACTAGCAAGAAAACATATGAAAAGGTGAAACTAAAAAGAAAACATACAATTTTGTAAAGCATAAGTCAATCCAAAACAAATGGTAAAATGTCTACAATACTACTAATGTGATAGCATTAGCAACAATAGCTTTTCTATGCTAGTCTGGTGAAAATTAATTAAATAAATAAATGGAAAGACACTTTGAAGATAGTAGTTTGCCTACTTCGCTTCTGTTAGTTTCTAAAGATCATACTTGTTGCACTATTTGCTCCTCTGACTACTGACAATGTTGGAAGTACCGTAAGCAGCTGATATAAATCTGTATTATCTCACAAAGATTCCCTTCTGAAATGAACTTCTGATTTTGGGAACACGATACTCAGTGCTTTTAGCCCCTTAGTTATGGAAAAAAAGTTAAAAAAACCAACTCAGTAAATGGACACTGTTTGGTGGGTTTTGTTTTTTTTTTCCTTGTGTTCATACAGAAAGAAGCTGCCTACTGACACAGACAGACTCAGGGAGTCCACTGTTCTGAAAGTAAGCAAAAGAGCAATAATTTAAATGAAACGCATCTAATTTTTGGTTAAGTGGTCTTAAAGAACCAAGAATCTGCATCTAGTACAGCAAGCACCAGCAAGCACAGGCAGGTCTGTGTTATATATGATACAGACTAAAAATGCACTGGAAGCATTACCATAGCTGATTTATGAGTAAAATACTAGGACCACTCACATTTGTGAGTGCTAGACAAAATAAAATCTTAAGAGAGTTATGTGTGTCCATTATTTAGGTATATATGCATTACTAGAGCTTAAAGGATCCACTTCAACAGTCAAGACAACATTTGAGGTTTTACGTCAAATACATGTAAATAGAATGCTTTTATGTTTCACTACAAATTATGATGGTTAATAGAACATGTATAAATTATGTCAGCCAACCCTTTAACATAGTTCTCCTCTTTTCTTGACGTTTGCTACTTTCCCTTCAATGTTTAATCTGTTGAAATGAAAGTATTTTTTACATTCTTGAATACATTTTTAAAACTAGAAACAAACCACATTTCTATTTTACCACAATGCTTATGTTCAGCATAGTCATCAGATACTAGTCTTGATGAAAAGTCTCTAACACAAAAAGAAAAGAGTGAAATAGAATACAACAACATGGATATTCAATGTTTTTAAACTGGCAGGTTGTGCTTCTGCTTTAGCCAGCTAGCTCTCACTGTGATTGATGTCTTCCTTTACAAATAAGTTATTTTTCCCCTTATGCTTTCATACTGCTTGGCTTCTGGTAAGTCTGATTCCTTTCACTCTGTTATCTTGGAAAAAAAAAAAACCCAACCTGAAACCCAAACCCCATAAGTCTAGCTATCTAGAAGGAGAGATCATACACACATCCAATATGCCTGTCAAAATGAGACGTACATCTGTGGATTGCTTGCATGCAGTATTAACAGTCTGGCCTCCTTATATTATAAATGCTGACGTCACAATAAATCTGGGCACTTGTTCTTACATTTGCTCCATCTCTCAGCAAAAGAGAGGATTCATTCTTTTTTTATTTTCTTTTTTTTTCTTTTTAATATATTAGCAATGATTATTTTTTATGTACAGTACTTCTGTGTAGCAATACGTATTATCATACAGCTTCAATAGACATCTGGCATTTCTGTCAGCTAAAGGCAATGGGAATCCATTTATGTATTCTTCAACACACTCTATGTGTTGTTCTCTAAGATCACACAGCATGGGTTAAATAAACCATTTCTGCCATGCAGCATTTTATACACATTGTAACAATGTTATGCCAAAATCCATTTTGTTTGCAACACATGCAATATCAGCTACTAACAAAATAGACTAGTGTACTAGTTTGACCTGTACACTACTTCACATTCAACAGGTTTTGAAACTGTCAGTGCATCACACGCTTACTTGACAGGATTACACAGCACCTATCCAAACCACACTTCAGCCTAGGCTAACCCATGCTCCTCACAACATGAACAGTTTGCAAGGAATGTGAAACTCATGTTGCTACTAGCTATTTTCATTTCCACTGCACCATTTCTACCCAAGGATATAAAATGATTTACCTGGTAAAACAACTGAAGACATTTACAGAACATGAGATAGCTAAGTTTAGTTGATCAAAAATCTGTGGTCTAACTCCTTTGTTCTCCCTAAAAACCTCTTGCCTCCCTCTGCTCAATCAGTCTTTAGGTTGTTCTGGCACAAGAGAAGTGACATTGTGAAATAAAGGGAGATTAACAGCCAGGCTATGTACCTTGCCTAATCTATGCCTAAATAAAAATTTAAACAGTTGAGTACTGAGAAGCAATTGCTCTATTCTTTACAGATATAAAGGCAGGCAAGCAGCATTCTACTGAAATAGTAATTAATTTTATGGAGTAAGATTTATGTTGGAAACAAAGTAACTCCATATAATTGCAATTTACACCTTTAATAAAGTAAAAAGTTGCAGATATGAATAAACACTTTCGAAAACTGAAAAACAAAATTAAGATGTGCTAGAGCAAGCAAGTAAGAATGACAAGAAATACCAACTAAAAGACAGCAAGGACTTGAATACTGTTTTCACTCCTCACCCTGGTAACGATTTGGAAAACCCCACTGTAGCAGCTCAGTACACACCTTGGGCACTGCAGCTCTCCTTCCTAGAAAACAAATTCAAACCCAGCTGTTCTCAGTAGCACTGCCAGATCATTAACACTGACAGCTGCTGAGTGGCTATGTTTGTGTGTGCGAGACAGTCATAATCTTGAAACCAATATTCCTGTTCCTACCAGACAAATGGCTGTGTGAACAGCAAAAATAACAAAGTGTAGTTCTTAATGGATTAAGAATTAGGATACAGATCTTTCAACCAAACCATATGTTGCAGTGTAAACTTGCTTCTTACTAGAAGTTAAAGAATCCACGCAGGAGAGACCTATGAATGCTTTAGCTGTGGGATAAGCTTCAATGGGCACTTCAATGTCATTAGGCATCACAGAACAATATGAGAGAGAAATCCTGACCAAAGACAGGTTCCTTGTATGTCCACACCCAACTGCCAAGACCCAAGCTGCAACAGACACCATCTCTGGAGCTACAATACTAAAAGGCTTCCCTCATCCAAGCCTTCTCCGCTGTCTTGTAACAGCTGCTACCGTGGTACAGCCTTTCGCTCAGCAGAACATCGCTAACAGCCTCTTCAGGATCCAGGCTCCCACGCAGGACATCGACACCTAGTTCTCCAGCCACTGAAAGATTCAGTTTCTCAGCACAGAAAGATGACTTTCACACTGTAGCTCCGCAAGTACCTTTCTGGCTTGCCCTATATTGTGCTTTCTTACTACAATGCTTTCCACTCCTACATCCTCTTCATATCCAGTGCTATTAACTTCACTGCTTTATTCAATTGACCATAACACACAGGAGGAAAAAATAATGAAATCAAGACACTATACAAAAAAAATATTGTCCCCTAACTGTAGCACAGCTAGAAAGCATAGAGGCCCATATAGGTAGATGAAATAATCTCTCTTGTTAAATATGCCATTGGCAGTCATGAAAAATCTGTAAAATACAAAGGCTTTCAAGATGTATAGACATCTTGGCATGGATTTGTATTGGTTAAGTCAAAAGTCACTCTCAAAAAGCAAACAGTTTCCAAAAGTCAATGCAATTATGTATATTAGTGACCTGTAGAGACAATACTGAGTGTATTTTATACTATCAAATTCATAATTTCCAAATTTATAGATTTGCAAAAAGTTTGTTTTCCAGAAAACAATACACATAGAATTGGATAGTGTGCCTCGCAAATTAATTTCCAGGGTGATTTCGTAAAGGTGAGGAAAATAACATCTTCATTTTAAGATAACATAACTTCAGGTTATTTTCCATCAATTTGTTATTTAGGAAGCTTTCCAATGTCATATTACATTTTTCACTCCTCAAAATCTGACTCCTTAAAACTGAAGAAATAACCTCAATCAATTTAAATATTAATACAAATTGGTGCTGCTATCTTAAGCATCAGAATCCTTAGTTATGAAGCATTAATTCATTGCAGATTTAAAGTCATGCCAAGTAGAAAAGAGCATGTAAACATCATTTACAAGGAGCAATGTTTGAAATACCTACCTTCTCCTCCTAAATATGAACTGAAAATTGAAACAAAAAGTTAAGGCTCTAGGTATCTCCTACAGCTTGCTGACACAAGTATGACAACAGTAAGAAGAATGATTGATCTCTAGAGATCACCTCAGTGATGCTGATGTACACAAAACTCCAACAATTAATTTCTAAGTTAAAAACAAGTTATCACGTATATAATAATTGTTAGTAATTCAGAGTCTAGCTTTTGTATGTTCTCACTCAGAAATTTTGCATTCAGGAAAGGTTTAACAGCATTCTGAGCAACCTCAAACATGTTACCATGTCTCAGTGGTTTAGGTTTAAAAAAAAAAAAAATTCATTCCTCAAAGAAAAAAATATATTCTAGTGAATTATTGGTCCTCCAAAATTGTAATCTGTACATACAAGGTAAAAAAGCCAGCCATATGCAAAGTAGTCCATGTTTTGAGGTGTTAGAAATACGATACAAAATATCTTTTTACTTAAAAAAATCTAATTCACATAACTCACAAGACAGTCTTGGTATTACAGAGCTACAGAATATTCCGGATCAATCTCTACAGCTTCCCTAACCTGATGTATTCCCTGGGCAAGCGAAGACAACTGAAAACCTTTTGCTTATGGCATTTACCCTGACGGTAGAGACCTATTTCCAGTTCCTTATACATTGAATAATTAAGTTCTAGATAACTGATGCCAGTATCTATCCTGAATATTAAAGCAGTTTATTATTCTTATATTCTTCT